TGGTTCCAGACCCTAGCCGCCCTGACCATGAAATAGCGTCTTCTGATGTCTAACCTAAATCTACCCTCTGCTAGCTTGTGACCGTTGTTCCTGGTCACTCCTGGCTGTGCTCGGGGGAACAGTGACTCCCCCAGTGCCTTCTGATCCCCCCTGACCAGTTTGTAACAGGCCACAAGATCCCCCCTCAGCCTTCTCTTGTGGAGGCTGAACAGGTTCAGGTCCCATAGTCTCTCCTCATAGGGCCTGCCCTGCAGTCCCGATTTAATTTTGATCAGTCATGGCTTGGTTACCCAGCAAATGAACAGTATATACCCTTTCTCCCTTGGAGAAATACCAGATATACAGCGATTAAGATGGTCTCACCAAATTTCAAGCTCTGGGCCCAGTCTGTATCTTGCTCCTTTGTGCTTAGCAATTTCAATACCTATAAAATGGGGTTTTAGAAATCAGAGTCCAGTCTACATGGAAATATATTAAACAACAAGCTAAAATCTCAATATGCAGAGAATCCCTCTATTTAAACATGTAACCCCAAAGTCTGTTTTAACAGTTTCCACCAGTGTCATACTAACACCCAGTAAAGGCAAAGTTCCTTGTAGTTTAAGTATTCTTTTTGGCATAGTTTATGTCCACAGAAGGCAGGGTAGATATGCACTTTGTAGACTAACTAGGAAAGCTAATAGATGAGCACAATCTTTCATGAACTCCAGGTCACTTCATGAAGTGCTGTAACAGGACAGCATAGAAAATGAAACGAATGATTTGAATGGAAGGGCTAGGGACAGAAGTTGCACATAAATTGGTTTAAGTGATCAGAAACTGGTTTCAGCCTGTAACAGAACAGAAGTTCAGTGTGAATAAACCAGTTTCAAAATGGCTGAAACTAGTTTAAGATAAACCTGGTTGAATGTAGTATCAGACTTAACTGACTTAGGTCTAACTGGTTTATGGAACTTCTATCCCAGACCCCCTTCCTGGTTCAAGTCACAGTCCCCCAGAATCCCAGCATGCTTTGCAGGCCCCATCCCCCTGCTTTCTAGCTGGAGCAGTGATGGCTGGCTGACAAGGGGGACGGATGTGGCTGGGGATGTAGCCCGGTCTGACTTTTCACTACCGGAGTGGAGGGGGCAAGGGCATGGGACAGCAGGCTCAGGCAGAGGGGGATTAAACCCCACTGCCTCCCCACTCCCACCAGCAGGGACCCCAGCATCTGCCCAGCTTTTCCCCCCTGCTCGTGGCACAGCCTGGGACCCCCAGAGCTCCTCTCACAGCCAGAGGGGGATCCTGCTGTGTTTTCCCAGCTGCAAGGGCCAGGGTTTTGCTTGGGGCAGCTCAGGAGCAAAGGCCAAATTGGTTGAGAAACAAAATGGCCCCAAGACTAGGGTGGAGACATGCACAGAGGGATCGCAGTGGCAGCTCTATCCTGGAAGTGAGCCCTGCTGACCAGAGAAACCCAGGCTGGGCTGGAGTGGGGAGGGGGCTCAAATGTGTTTGCACTAGCCTGGGGCAGAGCCAAGCTGGCCCAAAAATGCAGCTGGGGGAGCAGCTCCTGCTCGGCAACCCCTTCTACCTGCTGGAGAGCAGCTCCCAGGCCAGCCCTGGCCCACGCAGCGGCACACACAGCACAGACTTACCCCCTGAGCACTATTACCTGCGTCCACCTCACCACCACATGCCAAGCTGGGCATGTCCTACTCATTATTCCTCTACACAGCAGCACTGCACTATGGCCCCATGTACCAGGCATCAGGCGCTACCCCTATGGCTTCCCCGCTGCTGCTGTCATCTGCCCACCTGGCAGCCAACCACAGTTTGGCAGCATCTATCAGTAAGGCCAGGGGTGGGCACCCCCTTCCACAGTCATAGCAGCCCAAGGGGGCCTGAGCACACCCCCCCAACAGCTCACCTTTTCCCCACCCTGAAGAGAAGAGAGGGCTCAATCCAACGCCCCGCCCCCGCTTCTAGCCTGAGCCACTACAGGGATGTTGCTGCATTTCCAAAATCAAAAGTGAATGTCTATTCACTTGCTTGCTGGTTAAATCTATGCAGGTTAGACTGATCTGCAAAGACTGAATCAATTCAGGCTCTGGCTTTTTGAATGTCTGTACTTAGCCTAAAGGTAGGGAGAGGAAGGAGGCAGTGCTGGGAGAAGCAAGCAAGCGAGAACCCATAGGGACAAAAGGGGTGCAGAAAGTCACAATTCTTTAGAGGAGCTGCCTTCCATTTGGAGAAAATAGCTACATTTTCCAGAAGGGCTTCATGATCAACACACCTACAGAGAAGCAGAGAGCTCCTAATCTCCAGGAAAGAAGTGATGCATTAAGAAATCAGGAAGAAAGGAGATGCCTGCAACAAGGCTACTCCCCTAAGGAGGCAGCGGTGTTTCCACACACATCTCACGTGGTATAGGAGGTTCAGGGGACCAGCCTAAGAGAGGGCAAAGGCAGGATCAAGCCAAGAGAGCACCAAGGCTGGAAGGGAGCTCTGGAGTTTTACTGATTTGTAAACCCAAATGCAGTAGTTTCCCTGCAGGGAGCCGCCCCCTGCACTCTGCTGGGGCTGCAGAGACAACTGATGGTGGAGGGGGAATAGGAGCGATGGAGGGGGCGTGGGGCAGAGAAGCAGGGTGAAAATTTTTGCTTTATTTTTCTGTGGGAAAATTTTCCATTTCTAAAAATGCATTGTTTCATAAAATTCATTAGTAACAATGAATGGATGCCAATACAATATTAGGCAAGCTTGGCAGTTTCAAAGTTGTAATTCATGTTTTTCAGCGGATTATCCCTAAGATGTGTGTGACAGACTACATATATGTTTTATTGATTTGTAAACAAGAGGGTAAATACACTCACATAATAAGCCAAACCAAAAATCAAGTTATGAGTTCACCTAATTCGCAGTGCAGGTCAAGTCAAAACCAAAGCACGGCATATCATGCACAGTTCTTTGAATGTGCTAAAATTAGTGTGTCAACAGTTGTCAGTGCCCTTGGCTTTTTCTTAAGTTTAAACAAACAATGCAAGGGAAATCCAGGCTATTGCATACTGTCTTGACATTTTTTTACAAGTACTCCAATAAAAATCATTTCTTTCCAGTAAAGCCTTGAATTGGTTTGACTATAACATTTCAACCACATTAAGTGCATTTCATTTTTTTTCCTAATCAAATATTTCAGTTCAAATACTCGTCGCTGTTGGGACATAAAATTAACAGGGGGGTATATTTAGTAAACAAAACTAAAAGAAAAAGTAAGTCAAATAAACATGCTACATCAGATCACAATCTATTTTTCCGGGAAACCCATATCTCTGGTGTGGGGACACCACGGGCGCAAGCCTCTCTGCCACTTCCAGCCCTGGCCGTAAGGGCCTGCGCACATCCCGCAGAGGCTGTGGCTTGGCCAGTCCCTCCCTTCCAGCCAAGCGGTGTCCCCCAGCGCCGCCGCGAGCGCTTCTCCACTTACTTCTTAAAATCCTTTCCAAATTGCCATCGAAATCTAAAGCCCACTGGTTCAGGGCGCAGGTGGCCACTGTCACGGCCCTCCCCATGGCTCCTGCGGACTGGCTCTGCCTTACTAGCACCGCCCAAGCCGCGCAAAACCTTCCGAGCCTGGGGCGGGGCTTTTCCTTCCCCCTCCCCCCGGAGCCGGCAGGAAGCGGCGGCGCTAGGTTAAAAGAAACGCTGAGTCGTCGCCTCTGTGACGTCATAGAGCCGAGACAAGTGGTGGAGCCGGAGCTGCCTCTGCGGGTTCTAGCGGCCGCTTTCGCCTTGGCAGATCGCGGGGTAGGGGGCAGGCTGCGCTGTGTGCAGCAGAGAGGCTTGTGCCCGCCGTGTCCCCGTCGGGCTGTCCCCACACCTCCTCCATCGCTCCTATTCCCCCTCCACCAGCCTCTGTCTCTGTAGCGCGGGCAGAGTGCAGGGGGAGGTTCCCTGCGGGGAAACCGCTGCGTTAAGGTTCGCACTTGGGCTTGGAGCTCTTTTGGCATGAGAACTGCCTCTGCTCTCTCTTGGGCCGGTCCCGTGAGCCTCCTACATACACCGTATGGGATGTGTGTGGAAACACTTCTGCTTCCTTAGGGGTGTGGTATAGCTTTGCCACAGGCATCTCCTTTCTCCATTTTCCATTGATTCACTTCCTTTTGCAGGCATCTCCTTTCTGCCTCATTTTCTACTCTTTCCCTTTCTATTACAGGCATTTCTTCTCTGCCTGATTTCCAACTGTTTCCCTTCCTGTTATATGGCCAGTGTCAGTCTCCAGATCTCTTGCCCTGGCAGGGAACTGCAGCTGGAGTGATGTTCAGATCCCAGAATTGTGTCTCTCTCTCCAGTGTTACTCCACCACGTGGCATACTTACAGCCTGTTTTACCACCCACTTATTAAAGGATTTTGCCCCATAATCCCAGCCTAATCTCAGCTCTTGAGTCAGGAGAAGAGATTGATACATGATATATTTTGCATGTGTGTTAGTAAATAGACATTTTGGATGACATTCTAACTCTTCAGCATGTCTAATTCATTACTAACACCCTTTAATTGTGTAAAGATTAGCTGCGGAAAAGGAACCGGGAACCTGAAATAAGGATTTGGGAATACAGGAAAAAAACTTCAGCTGCATATTCAGGAAGGGATTGCAACAGGGCCAGAAACACTGTCAGCTGCACAGCACTACAGACAAGACTTTCTCCAGGGTTGTGCCCAGTAAAATGTACTTGCCTCTCCTCCTCCATGTGCCTTCCTACCTATGCCCTCTTTTGCTTGTTGTTGGCAAAGGGCCCACTTTAGGAGAACTGGGAGAACTCACTTGTGAAACTGAATTTAAATGTAATTCCTTGTAGCTGTAATACCAGTATTCAGTAATGTCTTGAGGGCTTATTGCCATGATCTCCGTGCAGGTAGCTACATTGAAAAGCAGAATATCTGCCACTTCCAACCACAAGCAGACCTCAATCAACTCCACAATCATATCAGATGGGAGGGGGTTAGGGGGCATCCATATTCTTGGCACAGATGTTTCATCCTGAAGATGAGCTATGGACCTAATAGGGAGAAAATGGTGTCTGTAGTTGGTGGTGGCCTTCTCAACATTTGGTTGAGAAGGCCAATTTACCCTGTGCAAGGGCTGTGTCTAACTGACAAGAGTCTAACAGAGGCATGTAGCTCTCCAGGTAAAGGTTTTTTTCTAGCTCTGTATTTGCATAATGCATCATTTACATAATGCAACATTGATTTCTGTTTGGCGCCTTCCACTCACTTTATACTATGACAGACCTGGACATAGGCATGGGCGAACTGGGTGGCCACGCAGGGCTCAGACAGAAAGGGGGCCTGAAAATGTTTTTTTGTAATTATTATTATTATCATTATCTCTGGTAAAGTGGGGCCTGATACTAAAAGTTCACCGAGGGCTGCCAGGAGTCTAGGTATGGTACTATACTGAAGAAAGTTCCCACTGTATTCAGTGAGTGCTTTGCACAGTAGAAGGGTTGACTAGAGCCTTATGAACTCAAAGAATGTAGTAAAAGCAAGTAAAAATAATCCAGAACTATACACTCCAGATTTAGAAAAGTATTTTGATTCAAAAAGCCAAAAAACATCCAGGTGCTCGAGTCCCTGGTTTTGGTTGAATTCTAAGTCTGGCAAAGTTATTATCCATCTAATTATATTATGTTATATTATACAAAATGTGATTGACTTAAGAGCAAAATCTATAAATAATTTGTAAGTCATGTAGACAGAGAAGAGCATTCTGAGTTGTCACTCTGCTGTCCCTTAAAGAGACCGTCCCTTTTCTATGGGCCTCCAGAAATTTCTCTGACCTAGTGCCCTGGGTTATTCACACCAATCAGTGCAATCAGTCCTGCTCAAACTGCTCTTCCCTCCTGTGTGACCTTGAGCAAATAACTTACCCTTTATTTCCACTCCGACCTGTTGTCTGTGTGGGGCACGGCTACATGGCATCAAGCATGGCATAAAAATCCACAGTGATAAAATAATGAAATGTGGCAAAACTGAAGCAGCACCACTTGAAATGCAGCCACTTCTTGGGTAGAAGGAAACAGGCAGCTGTCATACCCCATGCTGGATGTGGAAAACTGGGAACAGTGGTAAACATGAGCTTAGGTCAGGAAGATCTTTATTCCACGCAGAGTAGATGGGTCTTTAGATTATGGGGACCTGTTTAAACAAGCCTGAATCAAATGTTATCCAGCAGGATCATTCGTCTGCACAGAGATCGTGGGAATGAACCAGCAAAACATTACTGAGTACTACGCACTGCTTGCAATTGACTCAGTGAAGCTGGAGGCTTCAGGGATGAACACCCGAAGGTAATGAGCAGTTCATGAATCACGCTGGCGCTCTCCAAGGGAAGGCACGATTGAGGTCTGCAGTGTGGTTCTTCCACATCTAGACTGCTCTCGCGGCCCTTCAGGGTCAAAGCTCACAAAACAGAGATGTGTAAGTAAGTGCCTCTGACTGAGCTTTCCTACTGCCTCCTGCCAGCGCTCTGGCCAGCACAGAACCAGCTTGTTCTTATCTATGTAGGGATATAGAGATCTATCTATCTTATGTTGGCAGGGGAAAACTGGCTTGTTCTTATCTGTCTAGAAATACAGATATGCCTATCTATCTATCTATCTATATTGATTAGCAGGGGTAACATAGGTAGAGCGATCTATACCTATATAGACAGATAGACATATATAGCTGTATCTGTATATCTGTATATCTAGGACCACACTATATAGAGAGAGAAAGAGAGAGACCTCTCTCTCGATAGATAGATAGATAGATAGATAGATAGATATAGTGTGGTATGTATATATATCTGTGAATAACTGGCAGGGGTAAAACATAGAAACAGTGTGGTCTCTATAGATATCTATATCTACCTATTTATCTAGATAGATGGATAGACAGCTAGACATAGGTATCTATACAGACCACACTATTTCTATCTGTGTTTTACCCCTGCCAGTTATTCATAGGCTGCTGGTTGCCACGGTTATTCCATCGGCTCAGCGGATGGCTTGAGTTCCCTGCACCAATCCAGTTGTGCGACTCCGCGAGCGCGGGCAGCTGATTGGCCGGCAGAGCTGGTGCGCGCTTGCAGGGGCGGGGCTCCGGCCGAGCGAGCGGTGCGGGTCGGTGGATGCGGTGCCCGGGCGCGGGCTGACAAAGGGTTGGGCAGCGGCTGTCCCGGCGGGCGAGCGGGCGGCGCGTTGCGGAGCGGTAAGGAGGCTTCGGGCGCTCGGGCTCCGTTTGACAGAGGCTGATTTTGAGCTGAGTCCGAGGCACACGGGTGACTTAGCCTGTCGGGAAGGAGCCGCGTGCGATGCCGCCCCAGTGCCGGGGACGGAGGGCATCTCGCGTGCTGCCAGCTGTCAGACCTGGAGCGGGCGGCTCTTTTCAGCAGGGTGGCTGTGCTAGTGGGGAAACCCATGGAGGAAAACCTAGCACATACCCCAGCTCCCTCCCCTCCCTCCGCCACAAAAAAGCATTATTGTGTATGTGCTGACTTTCTTAAATCCTGGTTTTGTGGCTAGCTCGAGAGCGGGCTAGGTCTGGGCTAGCATAATACTGTCCTACCGTTTTGCATTGCTGTTACGTAAGGTAAGCCTGGGTCTGGCCTGTCTTTGCCGGGCCTTAAGACTTCTGGGTTTATCTTTAACTGGCTTCTCCGCGCGGCATAAAACTGAGCACTGCAATGAAAGCAGGGCAGGATTAACTCATTGGCAAACTAAGCACATGCCTAGGGCCCTAAGTGAAGAAGGGGCCGGTTGTGCTTATTTTACATGTTATAATTATCGAGTGAAAAAAAGTAACATAAATATCCAGTATTAAGTAGGGGCTCATGAGTTTGTTTGCCTAGGGCCCACTAAAGGGTTATTCCGGCTCTGAATGAAAGAATGAGCCATTCTTTCTCTGTTGAAAAGAGCCTGCTGCCTGATCTCATCTGACTTCTGAACAGAAATTTGGGAGGGAAGGGAAACAAAGCAAAAAATAGATGCTTATACAATCACTGTAACATGCAAACTGAGCTATGAGTAAAATTAAGCTTCTTTTTTTCTTCCAGGGACCTAGTTTAGTGTCCTTTTGCTTTTTTTTTATAAGTTATAACTTATTTTATAAGCTACAAGTTTATGAGTTTTATGTGCTAAGGTTTCATCTCCACACACAATTTGTAGTAATTCTGTTTTTAAATGTATTTTGAGCTCTGTTGGCAGGGAGGACAAAAGACCATTTAGGAAGATAGTGAATTATAACTGAAAACATAGATCTAGCCATAGTTTCAGCTTTGTACTAAATTGATTTTGAGGGTTTTTTAATGAGGTGGCCAAAACGTCACTCCTAAACCAGTTAGGTATTCAGCATGTAACATGGTTTGCTGTCCTTATCTGAATTAGTCTTCGGCAAACAGCCATAATTTGCTTTTAGCAGGCCTACCAATTTGCTGTGTTTTTACAGAATGTAAGACCGATATTATAGCCATAATGGTCCAGAAATTATGCAAGAGCCGAGGACTCATCCTAAGAAATTTGTTGTATTTTTATAAGATAGTGTGTGTTAAGGTTTGGGATGGGAGGTAGCTTTGTTTCACTTCATTGCTTTTTTTTGATAATGATAAATAAGACTCTGCCTTCTTGTATGGATAGACAATCCTATCTCATTGCCTACAGATATTTTCAGTAGCAATTTCATTGCTTCCTCTCAATTTTGCAGCATATCTTCTGCCACTCCATCCCAGTGGTGGAAAGCATTGGGTCTACAGATTTCAAGATTGCAACTACAGCAGTTTCTTTCCTAGAATCTGATTGAAAACCAGATGATGGCATTCAACTTGTGCTAGCATAACTATCTATTTTTTGTTACAAACCATTTTTGAGATCCTTGAATGAGTGGAGGGCTGGATAGCCAATAAGAAGGCATGACCCCAAAAGCTATTTTTTTCAGTACTAATTTGCTGAATTGATAGGCTTACTTGAGTTAATGTAGTAAGTAGCACCACCGTTACATTGCTGTAGTGCATCAACATGAGGGATCTATGATGGCACTAGGCTGTTCTTATTTGGGGACTGAGTAACTCATCAAGCAGGGGTGATGAAGGCAGAGATGGGTTCTCCAAGGTAACCTCTGATTGCAGGTGCCACACCAGTTCCCTTAGCTTTCTGAATCTGAGTGTAGTATTGCCAGCTACAGGGCAAGGGCCTCTTAGATGCCATTCCAGGGTTTCACAAGTTTCTGGATCAAGAAGGAGCAAGATTAATTGTTGGATATTATTAAATTAAAATTGTGTAGCTGGCACTTCTTCTTTACAAACATGACTTTACCCACACTGGGTAAGTCTGGGGTAAGGCTCACCACAGTAGGATTGGTGGATGAGTACTTCACCCCAAAGGTACAAGTTCAGTTGTCCTGAGATTTGCTTGCTGATGATGGACTGGCCCAAGTCTGCTTCTGGAGATCTGCAGCAAGATAGAGATGTGTCCCATTTGCCCCACTGATGGTGTTGTCCCAACACTGCTTGGGAGAACATGTTGTTCTTACAACATTAGCCTATGCATGTCCCAAGGGAGGGGAGTGATAGCATTAAGAGGTAACACCCTTTTTTTTCTTTCCTCTATACCACTATGGGTTCACGACATGGCAAAAGGCTGAAAGCATAGATTACAGTAGGCCTCTGGAAGTTTGAGTCTTTTCTGTGCCAACAGTCTAAGCTAGCGGTCTTTAACATGGCTTGCAGGCCTAGTGGGCTATCAGCAGACCACCTGAAGTTGGTGAGGGAGCGTGGGCAGGGATGAGTTGCCTGCTTCAGAATCTGGGGCCCTTGGTCCCCAGTAGACACTACAGGTGGCTGGAGGATGAGCAAGGGCTGGCACTGTCCCGTCTGCTTTGTCCAGGGTCCCGCTGCCACTGCTACCAAGTGCTCTCTCTGGCCAGAAACCAATAAAAAGCAGACATCAGTTTTCTCCCAGGAGACAGTTTTTTTTATCCTGGGATCTTACAGACAGACAAGGACATTATCCCACATTAAGTACCTGTGAAGTATCCAAATTAAGACTTTGCCCCAGAACAGTGAGGACTCATTCATGGCCATTCAGGCTGTGAATGACTATCACGTGCCGGTTTTGATGCGAGTCAGTCAGCCCCAAGATAAAGCCCACATCTGGTTTCAGATGGAATCCAGTTGCTTTGTCAATCATGGGAGTGGCCGGAGCCGAGTGAGTGGTCCAGATTTCCCTCGCCCAGTACAACGGCCACTTCTACAGGTAGGCTTCTTGCCTACGGGTTTGACTGGCTTTTGGTTTCCTCAGGACTCCCTGGGATTCAAAACACTCAAATGGGTACTTAGGTTATTTTGCAGCCATTATAGGCAACTGAGTATTTGTCCCTGTCTGTCCCTATCAAATTTTGTGCATCTCCTGATACTTGAAATCTTACTGGAAGACTTGACCCCTGCAGATAACAGAGATCTTCAGCTGTCTCATCATTTTTTTCTAACACTCATGATTACAGAAGGAAGTGGGACAACATGAAGCAAATGTGATCCCAAAAGCTCATACTACAAAAAGCAACTAAAAGAAAAACCCCAAATGATCTTTCATTAAAAAAAATCATTGTTTTTGAGGGTTGGGATGCTTCAGATGGTTGAGTGTTGGAGACAGGCAGTGATGATCAGTATTTTGTTCAGTTTTTTTTGTTTGGAAAATGTGGGATAACTCTAAAACTGTTTAGCTGGATTGCTAAATGTATGTTATAGCGAACTAAACTGCAGATGCTGGACACATGCACCCTTGACATAGACCCAAAATGCTCTGAGGACAAAACACAGCAAAGGCCAGGGCCAAATTGTTATTTTATTACCAGTGTACACCAGATAGTGCTTAGGGATCATTAAAGCACAGTTAACCCTTAAATGGAATGTGAAATCCAAACACAGACAACTCAGTGTCCTAAAATCAAAGTCTAACTTTATTAGTACAACAAATATTATCTTAGCAGTTTCTATATTCAGAGAGAGAAAAAAACATGTAGTACAATGATCTTAACCAATCCCAGAAGTTACTTTGCTCAGCAGAAAAGGTGCCACTCAGTTCCTGAAGCAATGAGTGTGTCATTGGCTGGGATGGCCCAGACAGGTGTTGAAAGCTGGATTTATGATGACGACGATGGCAACACACTTGACTTTCTTGCTGCTCCTTTTTACGCTTTTCTTTGACTTCACTCCTTTGATGACTCCTTGCTTTTGGATTGGTCTCTCTACAGTCAACATATTGTCCATATTTTATCGTGTCAGCATATTCCTTTGTTCAACAAACCCATCATGGGCATGCCTCTTTATTTGGCCTTTTTCCAGTGTCTGACTTTGGGTATTGTCCATTGGTCTCCCTTATCACCTTTCCTTAACATAGCCAGTCATTTCATCCCTCTGATTCAGCCGGTTAGTGCCAAGTTCAGTTAATTTGAGCTGGTAACAAAATTATTACTATATGCTAGAAAAACTTCTCACAGTGATAGAAAAAGAAAGAAACGTGAGCAAACTCAAGGCCATAAGCTGCTTTCCAAGAGGCAAGGCCAACCGATATTGCAGAAAAGTTCAGATAACAATGAATGCAGCTACACAGAACTTAAGCAATGAGTAAATAAGGCTAAATATAGAAGTAGACTTTAAACAATACTGTAATTCACCACTCTATAAACAGGTGCAACTTTAAAGCATAAAATATGACAAGCTACCCTAACAGGATTAACCCTTTAGTGAACCTTGGAAAACAAACTCGTGGGCCCTGGGCCCATCGAGCACCCCCTCCACATCCTAGTACTGTCACCCATAGGGAGCAGAGCTTGGAGCCACTGCTAGGAAGGAGCTGCTGCGGTGGCAAGGTCAGCAGAGGGGAAGGTAAGGGAAGGAATGTGGATGGGGCCATTTGAGCTGCCACCCTGGGTGGAACGACTAGGGCCCCCGGCACCTGAGGGCCCTAGGCATGTACCTAGTTTGCCTGTGTGTTAATCCAGCCCTGGCAAAGGCCATGTCTCCAGCACTAGTGATTTTCCGGTGCTTTGCCTGCATCACATTCCTGTACTTACATGCAACTATGCTTGTAAAGCTGTTCTTTGTACTATTTACATCCCACATGCAACCAGCTATGCCAGTATATATATATAGTTTTGTCAGCACAATAATGTTTTAAGTAGAGTTGTTTCAGCAAAAATATCAG